CCTGCGCCCTTCTCGCCCCCAGGGTGTGGAATCAGGAAAGGAAGGAGTCTGTGATCAACCATTGGGCACCTTGATCTGTTGGTGCAGAGGGGCGCCCAGCCTCTGGAGATCAGGGACTGTGAGTGGCAAGGCCCCTCACACCCTCCGAAAACCGAAAGACCCCAACAGTCCCTCCACATTTCCTCCCCAACTGATACTGCGCTGATTCTCTTTCCTTTCCTTCCTCCCCAAGAATGCAGAGCAGACAGGAAATGAATGCTAGAAGCGACATTGACCGCTGTTTAATTTTTTTAAAGTAAACATGTATTTTAACCATTTCTGGTTAACAAACTACTTGGGTGGCACATCCTAGCTGCCCTTGGCCCCATTGAGGCTTCATTACACTTGCCCCGAGGGCCCTGTGTTTACTTTGTAGGGTCTTAAGGTCTTTCCTTTCCTTGTGGGGGCCCTGGTGGCATAGTGGTTAAGAGCTAGACTGCTAACTGCGAGGTCAGCAGTTCTAAATCACCAGCCCTGCTGTGGAGAATGCCTGGGCTTTCTACTCCTGTGAAAAGTCAGACTCTCATAAACACCCGGTTGCTATGAGTGGCTAGTGACTAGATGGCAGTGAGCTTGGTTTTGGTTCCGTGTGGAGCAGTGGGTTAAATGTCAAACTGCCATTCATAAAGTTGGTAGTTGAAGGCCCCCAGCCACTCCTTGGAGAAAGATGGGTCTCTTTCAGCTGCCTTAGAGATTTACAGCCCAAAAAACCCTCAGGAGGAGTTCTACGTTGTCCTGAGTCAGAATGCACTCCATGACAGCGAGTGTATTTCTGTCTGTCTGCTTTTCCCCTTGCCTCAGATTGCCATATTTCTCTTCTGAGTATGCTTGAATATTTTAAGTATTTAACCGTTTGTGTCTCCCTGGGTTGGACAAAAAAGATTGTGCTCGATTACTAACCGAAAGGTGGGAAAGTTAAACGTACCCAGCAGTGCTGCAGAAGGAAGGTTGGCCAGCTGTTTCCATACATACGTACCGTGTGTTAACCAAGAAAACGCTATGGAACTCGTGTCCATCGAAACATAATGAGGTTGCCATGAATTGGACTCAGCTTGATGGCCGTGGGTGTGATCTCCCCCTCGTTCCTCCATTCATTCGACGAACAGAGTTAAGCCAATGAGAAGTAATGAATGGCTTTAGCGCAATTGAACATGGGCCCATGTTATAGGGCTAACCGAGTTTGGTTGCTGCTTAATGAGAATGTGGTTGCTGATAGCATGAAATAACTAACTTTTCCTCCGTGGAAATAATTTCTAATGGCTGCTCGATCTCTTGACAAATTGTTATAAAACCTGTCAACAAAGTGGACATGGGTCTTCAATTGTGTTGGTGTGGGAGAGTAGGGAGGCTTTGGGGGGATGAAAGAAAACCAGATCTATTGAAAATTACCAGTAGCATCAGTACCGTTATCGAGTAAGATGATGCTTTTTACTGCTATTCCAGTTGCTTTTTGGCATTGAGTTCAGAAATAATTTGATAGTTTAGGCTAGAAGCTGGGCAAAATATTGGGCAAATACCGTTATCGAGTAAGATGATGCTTTTTACTGCTATTCCAGTTGCTTTTTGGCATTGAGTTCAGAAATAATTTGATAGTTTAGGCTAGAAGCTGGGCAAAATATTGGGCAAATACCGTTATCGAGTAAGATGATGCTTTTTACTGCTATCCCAGTTGCTTTTTGGCATTGAGTTCAGAAATAATTTGATAGTTTAGGCTAGAAGCTGGGCAAATGAAAATTTGGGATTCCTTTTGCTAAAGTAATGAATTAAGTTGTTCATTCACCTATTGAATTATCCCATAAGCATTTTATGTATTTATCTTTGTCTGTGTGATCTATTATGGGGGGGAAAATACCTGCAGTGTAGCAGGCACATTGGGCTTAAAGTGGAGTGGTGAAATAAAGCAACCTTTGCCCCAGTGACCATTCTAGTGGGGAAGATAGACAGTCAACAACTAAATAGTATAGCGATTGGTGATGTGCTCAAGAAAACTATGGGAAAGGCTAATCTTTTAAAAGGAGTGGGTAAAGACAGCCTTTTAGATAAGGTGGCTTTTAGCAGCGACCTTATTGTTTTCTTTTCCCCTCCAGGATTATAGGGTTTATAAGGGAAGAAACAGGTCACAATTCAAGATCCGAGGGGACTGGAGAACCACTTTCTTGATTCAGACAGCCTCTATTCAGCAGAGCAGGCAGACCTTTGTTCTGCTTGGGCAAGTGTTACCAAGCTCTCTTAGCTGGGATGATAATTGCCCAGGGGCACCTCACTCTGCTATTATGTGCTGGCCCTAAAGCACTCTGCTTTAACTGCAAACCAACTCCACCAAGTGCCCAGAGACACCCTCCCCAACCTACAAGCCACCTGCCTGCAGGCACTCAGCTTTCTGGATCCTGTTGCTCTTGTTGGCCTCCTGCAGGTCTAACCTGAGATCTTTTTGATCAAGTGACTTTTAAGCAGATGTGCCTTCCTTACAGAGACAAAACAAAAAGTGGTCTGGTTTGGGGTCTGTC